GGAATTCTAACCCACATACTTGTGGATTTCAAGGATGCCACAGGACCGGACGGTGCTCACTCTGTCCAACTGTAGTGTGAACAGTTTCCCAAGCACGCAGGTAAACAAACTTGCAGGCGCTTGGTGAAGGAAGGTTAGAAATTAAGCGCAAGTTAAGTGGCGGCGCTCCTGTTAGCGGTTCTGCGCTGGCGCAGCCTGGGTCTGGGTCAGAACCACACCGGGCAGCTGGTGGTTAGCACCCGGTGCGTTACCTGGCAGCGTGGCGAGAGAACTCCCACCAACTCAGCCACGTCCCACACCACCCTTTGGGGGGAGATCAGTGGGGGTCCCCGAGTTCCTGAGGAAAGCACCTGGGCGGAGAAAGGACAGGAGCGGGCTGTAGAGGGGGGGTCCCCAGGAGCGGGGAGGAGGCCAGGGCCAGCGCAGCCGCTAGGCCCAAGGGGCCCCCCTTCTCCCCATAGTTGGCAGCTCCAAACGGGGAGCGTCTCCTGCCCTGGGCGACAGATCCTGCCCGCTCCTTTCGAACTCTGCCCAGCGCGTAGGGACCCTCTCCTTCTGCCGCGAGTGTAGGCCGAGCAAGCGGCCGACTCAGGCCTAGGGCCGCGTCCGGGCGCATCCCACCCTACCTGGGCTCTTACCTGCAGCGGTGAAAACGACTCTCTCACTCCCTGCCATGCAGTCAATACTGACTCATGGTGACCCCTCCGTGGGTTCCCAGGACACTGCCACTGTTGACGGAGGCAGAAAACCCAGTCTTTCCCCCCACGGAGCCGCTGGTGGTTTCAACCTGCCCACCGTGTGGATCACAGCCCATCGTGGAACCACTGCACCACAAGGGCTCTAAGTCCAATGGACGAAGGGGCCACACAGACGTGGGTGAGTCCAGGCCAGAACCAGACAGAGCTCAGCTACCACTGCCGCCTGCTCTGAGCAGGATGGCATTAGAAGGGCCTGGAGCAAGTGGGAGACCAATGTGGAGCCCAACCAAAGCCATAAGAAGCCAGGGTTACTGGTCAGCTAGAGACCAGAGGGGCCTGAGACGGTGGCCTTGCGTTCCCCTTCAGATCTGGAACTGAGCTCCCCCCTCTGTTGGAATCACCAGCCATTGAAGGTCAGAAGGGCAGTGTTTGCCCAAGGACAGAGGGTGAGCCAAGAAGAGAGGAAGGAAGCAGGAGATGGAGCGAGGACGTGGGACACACCGGTCGATGAGAGGCTGCAAGGGGAGGAGCGGATATAAAACGCGTATGAATTGTCATGAATTGTCGGGTGGGAAACTGACAATCTGCTCTGTCAACCTTCGCTTACATCACAGTTGAAAAGTTAAAAAAAAATTTTTTTTTAAACCCTACAGATGAAATGGAACACTCTCTTATTCAAAACCCATCATAGGGTGGGCCCGGAGGGGACAGGGGTGGGGACAGGGATCCATCCCACTGTGCATCAAGTCACCACAAGTCGGGGTGACCCCATGGCAGCCACCAGCAAACCACACACAGATTCAGTGTTTCCTTGAGCAAAATCTTTTGGGGAGACCGAGGCCCACCCTCCTTAACCTAAGCTCTGTTCTGTGGCCCTGAGGGACAGGCAAAGCATCACATGACCCTGGAGCTATGAGGTCAGGGCTGACCTACGTTAGGGAGACAGCAGAGGT